AGTTGGAAAAAAAAAATAAAACTTTAAGTAAAAATTCCAGAAAGGCTAATACTTGATAGCCAATGTTATCAGATTTACTAGCATGTTTTTAAGGTAACAGTTTTATTCTTGTTGTTTTCTGAATGATTTCAAAATCTACAAATTAGGTATTATGGTATGAACAAACATTTGTCTTCGGTTTGTTTTGTGTGTGAAGGAGATTAAGTATTCATAGGCAATCATGATTTTTAAAAAATGATTATTTATAATTTTGTATTTACCCAACATAATAAATCTCTTCCCCCCGCCGCCAGAAATAATTACTTTTTAAAAGTGTTATTGTATTTTTGTATACCTTTATTTTATTTATTTATTTTTAATTGGTACTAAGGATCAGATCAACCTAGTGCCTCACACATGCTAGGCAAGTGCTCTACCACTGAGCTACAAATTTTGTAGCAGGAACAATTACTTTTAAGAATTAAAACCATCAGTTGTTTTAGACTATAAATGATATCTCAGTGCTTCCCTCATGCTTTTGCACAATTTGTAATGTATAAGTTCAAATAATTTCTATCAATATAAAGAAATGTCATTTATGTCCTTATAAAAACTTACCACACAAATTATTGTCTATAAAAAGGAAAAAGAGCTATATGGGAGATTTAGGGCTCTGGATTGAACCATGGTGGCACCATTTCACAGGCTTCAGGAGAGAGCACAGCCATTAATCTTTGTTAAGCCAGAGGTATTATGGTGACTTCCAATAAGCAGACATGTTGCTGTCAAAGAGTTAGTTAGAAGGGTTTAGATCTTTAAAATAGTTTTTGAACTGCTCATAATCAGTTTTTCATTCTGTACCTTGTTTTCCTGTAATTATTTGCGCTTCCCTAGTTTTTCCCCTTGAATTATCTTTTGCATGTAAAGACAAGCAATTTTTATCCTAAAATTGTTAAGAATTTTTAAGGAGATGAACACTGATGGATAGAGATACTGCATAGAAGAGGAATTCAATTCGTGCGAGAGTGACAGTTCAAGCCCGGTCACCTCAACGGAGAACTGCATGCTTTTTCTGAGTATAAGATTCAGCCCTGATCCTTTAAAGGAAAGGTTAAATTAATAGCAAGAACCTGTTTATATGCTTTTTCATAGTGAATGAAGATTTTGCTAAAATGTAAATTAAGACAAATTTGCTGTATTTTCTGTACTCAGCATTCTTCCACCAGTTCGACGCATGCACAAGGAGAATAATTCTTCCTCCAGTCTTCCAAGTCTTCACACTTCCTTCTCTGCCCCTTCCTTCACTGCCCCCTCTTTCCTGAAAAGCTTTTACCAGAATTCAGGTAGACTGTCCCCACAGTATGAAAATGAAATCAGGTGAGATCAGTGTCCTCTGTTTGCAAAGCAAAATTTTCTGCAGTGATATACTGATAAGTTACTAAAAAGTGGCTGATTAATTTTGGAGTGACATTTATGCATCCTTCTGTGTGCTTGTTCTAATCTGTTTCTAATATGTTGACTTTAATTCCAATTAATTTAAAAATGAGTAGTTTCAAATCTTTTTATGACATGATTGTCTTTTTAAATTAATTTTAAAAAAATTATTTGTATTTCTTTGCCTTGGAGCCCAGAGTCTAAACTTCTTATTGTTTGGAACAAGACCTGGTGCTAACACATACTAAGTAAACTTGGACCGATCATGCTTTTTTTTTTTTTAAWGCTCTCTGGATATGTTTCATAGAACCCAAAAGCCACTGATTGAATTAGACTAAAGGTTTAAGTGAAGTATGTCTTAAGTTCTAAGTATGTAGAATACTTCTTAGGTACTTTTTTGATTTTTCAATGACAGACTTAACTTTCTGAAACTTAATGTACATCAAATAAATGGATACAGGATCATGTTGATAGCAGCTCTGAACTAGCATAAGGGATCTCTTCAATCTTGTAGCTATTCTGTTTTGTTTCATATTTGTCCCCAGTAGAGAAAACGTGTAGCCTGTTAAAACTTGTTGCTTGCTCTTTTAGCTATGCAAAATTAGATGTGGTTATTCTTGGAGAATTGCCTCCTTTTTAAAAATGGAAATAAATACGTGAAATTATACCAATCATTCGAATTCTTAGTGAAGTGTTGCACAGCTCTGAAATGTGGTGGGGTAAGGGTACCCTTTAAAGGGGTTATTGTTGACCTAAGCAGTCTGTGAGATGCATTCCTTTTTGATATAGTTTGGTTCACATGTTTTTTTTAAATCAATAAATAGTATTCTATTTGATACACCACAGTTATCTACTTTCTTGCTGATGGACATTTGAGTTTGCTTTTAGTTGTTTGGTAATTGGCAATTTTTGTAGTCAAGGAGAGGAATGCATGCTTCAGCTAGGCTTGGTGTCACTAAAATCTTCTTGAATATTCTTTTGGCCTATTTAATTTAGACTTAGGATATTCTAAAAGCTAGCACTGTAACTAGATAACCCTCATTAGCTGGTTAAATTAGACTAATACTTGAATTATTTCTGATTATCTTTTACCTGAGTGACAATTTTTTTCACTCTAAGAAAGATAATTAATTTGGATTATATAATTATGAATCTGAAGTTTGCTCTGAATTAGCACAGAGCTTACAAGGCCTTGGGTTCAATCCCAGCACTACCAAAAAAAATAGTATAATATATATGGAATATGCAATGAATTTAAAGAACCAAGACTGTATGTGCATAAAAATCTAAGTTTTTCATAATACCACCTACTAGTAAGAATGGAACCATCAAACCTTGTTTCAGTGTCTTATTGTTATACTAGTTAAAGTGAGCATACAAGAATCCTTATTTCTTTCCTACAAAGTAACAATTAGAGATAGCCTTTGGGAAGGTCAAAAGTCTACTATAAATAGAACATAGAGTACAAAAGAAGTGGCTTACTTTTTAAAATATTGCTTATATTGTTCAATAAGGTTGTGTGTTTGTTTTCAGGAATTCCTTCTTAGGCCTGTGTAGTATTATTGCTACTAGTGTTCCAGAGCCCTTGATACCTCAGTTCTAACAGAAGGATTTAGGGTTAGGTTGAAAAACTTCACCTTTTAGTAGCTATTTTATTTGAAGGGTTATGTTTAAAATACAGAGACCTTTTCAATTTGCAGGATCTAACATTCTGTTTTCTACTCTATTAAATGTTTTTCTTGGTTATGAGAAATTCTAAAAACCAGAGATTAGTTTTTTTTTTCTTTTACACTTTTCTACATTCGTTTAATTTGACATCATAGAATCAGTAGGCCAAAAGTATACTTACAACATGAAAACACTTTCAATGAAAAGTGCACTGATCCTAAGTATATAGCTCAGTGGATCACCAGTGACACACTCCTACGTCACCACTGCCCGGGCTATAAGCAGAAGGCTTGCAGTGCCACTCTCTTCTTCCCATCCTGTCACCATTATGCTGGCCTCATATAGCATAGGTTGTTAGTTCTGTCTGGTTTTGAGTGTTATATAATTGGAATGATACATTATCTGTTCCTTTTTTATTTGGCTTCTTTCACTGACTTTAGGTTGTGAGGTTCATTCCTGTTTTTATGTGTACTTTATTCATTTTTAATACTGTATAGTATTTCATTTAATAGATCACAGTTTATTCATGCTCTTTTGAATGGACATTTGGTTGTTTCTAGGCTTTGCTTTTGAAAAGAGTTCTGTCTTAACTGTTATCTATGTATCATTTATTGTATATATGTATTATTGGTGAATACCTACACAGTGATAAAATTATTGGACAAAATGCACGCTTAGGTTATTTTAACTAGTAGGTGACTCAGACATAGTTGCAGTCTTGGAGAGAGTGACTTTATGTTTGTACTTTGAAATGATTTCAGATTTATAGAAAAGTTGCAAAAATAGAGGATTCCTTTTAATCCTTTATCTAGATTAATCCATTTTGATATTTTGCTACATTTCTGTATCATTCTCTTTGTCCAGGTACATATCTATTTCTGCATTATATGCACATACATATTGCTTCATTTTGAGCCATTTGTGAATAGGTTGCGTGTATCATGTCTTTTACTCTTGATACTTGAGGAGGGTGTATTTCCCCAAAACAAAGATATTCAAGAGATTGGTTTGATCCAGTGTTTTTTGAATTGTGCATCTCACRTTGCCACTTGTTTCAGAGTGAACATCATGTATACACAGTTACCATGATTTCTGGAACTATTCAGAATAGGGAGAGGAGGAGATTCATAATACTACCAATTGTAATTTGCTTGTCACTTGGTACCTAATATCTTTTTTGCATAAATAGATTTCTAAATATGCATAACCAAGTAGGGAATAGGAAAGGGTAGGATGTGGGCTAGCAATACTATTACTCTTTTAAAAGAATACTTACTTGTAATTTTAAATTCAAGTTAGGCATACTTCTTTAGGACCACTGTCCTGAATTTCTGCTGAGCAGGAGGAGCCAAGATCTTTTTAATATCATGGTTTGTTGGCTAGTAGATCAATTTGCATGAAATTGAAATGATAGAGGGAAGGGAATAAGCATATATTTTTGTTTTATCAGACTTTGAATTAATTTTTGAAAATTCAACATTTTATTATCCAGTGATTAAATTATAATTTTGTATGGTAATATATTTTTATGACATATATCTTCTTCCTATCAACAGGCATCTTTATTACTCTTTATAACTGCTTCTAAGGTTTTAAGCTTGAATTTTAAAAAAATTACTTGTATTACGGTTCATTGGTCAAAAGTAAATGATTATTTTTTAGAGTGATGGTCATTACTTTTATTTACTTAAAAAGCTTTTCATGACAAAGTAAAGGTTTTTGCTGAAGTGCTTGTGGTACGGTTTTGGTTTTATCGTTCTCTTGTATTCATTGATAAAAATCGCATAACTGTTCATTACAGTTCATTTATTGAAGTAACCTTATTGATGACTTAGGAAATGTATTTTTATTCTGAGTTCTGATTTTGGACATATATCTCTCTGCTAATACATTCCTTGTTTTCCTGTTGTACTAGACAGGACACTGCTTCAGAATCAAGGTGATTAGAGATTAAATATTTTCATTTAAAAAATTCGCAAATTTTCCCACTGAATGCCATCATTAATCCAAGAAGCAGTTTTGATTGTCTCCTGAATGCATGCTGGCCTCCTGGGTGCTAAGTCTACACGGTAGGGAAATGTGACCCTTGGCGTAATCAAAGATCATGAATTATCATGTAAAGTGTGGATTGCAAACAGAAGCCCTTTTTCTACTCTATTCCATGTTGAAATTTCCTTAGAACTGTGCTGTGGCCTTCAACCAAAGCCTAATCTTAATTTTAAATTAATAAAAGTTTAGTTGGGAGACACATATGTCCATCTGAGGAATTTCTTCCAAGTCCCAAGAAGATGAAGAAATGATTTATCCTAAAGTAACATACTTGTAAAATGGAATCTGGTTTTCACCTGATGAGGAATATTAATTTTTTTTTTCTGTAACTCTTAATTCCTGTCATTTTGGTCACTGTGAGACCCTGGTAAAGCCTTGTGGATGTCCTTTTGGTCTGGACACAGGGAAACATCTAATTTCTTATTATTGATGCCTCACCATACAGCTTTTTTTTTTTTTGGTAACAGCTTTTCCTTGGATTTCCCTGCACTCTGTGGAAAATGTCCAGAATCACTGCTCAACAACTCAACTGCAAACATTTATCTGCTTTGCTCCTGTTTCTACACTATATCACAAGTCTCATGAGAAACATATGTGGCCATCTTCCTATTTGTGACCACTGACATTTAGATTTCTTGGTAGCTGCAATAACAACATAGTATTATAGATTATGCTAGAATGAGACATCAAGGAGAGAAAAGTCCTCAGAGAAATATTTTGGCCATATTGCTAAGATAAAAAGTGACTTTGTTTTTGAGACTTGTTAATTGACCTATACACCCCTCCCCTCCCTCTTTTTTTGGTGGGTTGGATGTGTGATCATTTCAAGAATACTTTTATCTGTTTTCAAAAGTCTGATAGAGATGTTTGTTTTGTCTTGTACCCTTTTAGGTTCTTACCATGGGCATAAAACTTGATCTGCTTATTACTTTTAGAGATTATCTGGCCTATAGTTTCCTTATTTTACACATGGTTAGATTGAGCCCCAGAGAGGTTTTCTATGTGGTAGATATCATTTTCCTTATCTTAAGTTATTATATGTACCACACAGGCATGTTTTAAATTCCGAGGTGCAAAGCATTTTTAAATATCTGCATTCAGTGTGTAGAGTTTAGGAAATAAAACCCTTTGTTCTCCTCTCTCTTTTTGCCTACACATTGTTCCGCTGACTAATCTGTCTCTTTTGACTCACAGCTCAGCTGCCACTTATTGATTTCCACTAGAGTGGTTCAATCTCAATGTTATTTAATTAGTAAAGATTTTCCATAGGCTGACAGATGTGTACCTAGTTGAAAACCAGAACTTTCATATAAACTCTTACTGCACTGGAGGCAATTATGAGTTAAATTGTACTGTGATCCTGTGGAATAAACTAAAAAATTTTATCAATATATTGTTCTATGCAGGCTTGAAGGCATGGAAAAGAAAGCTTCTTCACCTTTCCATTAAATAGTTCCCTCCTATAGGGAAGGAAATAAAAAAATAAAAAATAAAGACAAAATAAATTAATCACATTTTGTTCTATCTTGCGTTGCAATAGGCTGCAATCCAGCTAGATTTATCTAGTGTGTTGTCATTTATTTGGGCTTTGTGATGCTGGTAGTTAAAGTTTCGTGCTAGGGAGTTGGGTGGTGGGATGGGAGACAGTCTGCTGCTCAGCAGGACACATTTATGAAGCTGGCAGAAGAGCTGACTTTTATACAGAGTGTATCTGTGTTGGCCTTGTGAGAAAATGACCGTTCAAATACCTTCATCAGGTACAATGTTGAATGCGTTGATTCTTACCCAAGCAGGCACATGCATTAAAAGTTCTGTTAACTTAAGAAGTAAGATGTTAACAGTAKATATAATGAAGATTACAACTGTTCAAGGTCATATTAAGAAGTCATCTTATGCCAGGCATGGTGGCACATGCCTATAATCCCAGCGGCTCAGGAGGCTGAGGCAGGAGGATACCAAGTTCACAGCCAGCCTCAGCAACTTAGTGAGGCCCTAAGCAACTCAGTGAGACCCTGCTTCTAAATAAAATATGAAAAAGGTCTGGGGATGTGACTCAGTGGTTAAGCATCCCTGGGTTCAATCCCCAGTACCAAAAAAMAAGAAGTCATCTTGCAGCTTTAGGGGGTTCACATTTTATCCATAACTTTAAAAAATATTTTTAGTTGTAGATGGACACAATATCTTTATTTTGTTTATTTCGTTTTTTTTCTGTAGTGCTGAGGATCAATTCCAGTGCCTCATGCATACTAGCCAAGTGCTCTACCACTGAGCCACACACAACCCCAACCTTATCCATAACTTTTGATAGATGCAAAATGCCCCTCTCAGCTTACATGATTATAACATATAATGTGGCTTATTTTCTCCCCTTGTAAAGCCCTCATTTGTGTCCATGGATTGTGGTTCTCAGTTAGTTGGCAAATAGTAGTAGGAAGTACATATTGAATACACCAACACAGAACTGGGCAAGAATTCTCCAAGTTGTACTTCCTTCCTGGCTACTCATTTTTTAGTTCATAAATTTCTGCTAGAGGAAATACTGGCACAGAAGACTCTTCCTGAATATTTTTTTTAAGGGAAGCAACTTAATAATGTACATGTTTACATTCTGAAACACAGATGAAGGTGGCAAAGATTATTTGGGAAATAAGGGAATGTCTATAATTTGTTTCATGACTTTAAAAATGTAAAGATAATAAAGTAGCAACATATGTATATTATACTATATTAAGCTGTTTTGTTTAAAATCAACAAGAATATTCTTTATGAATTGCACTTGTTTCAGAGAAACTGAAGTGAGGCATTTACACAAATAAAGCACCTTTTAGTGTTTTGAAGTTAGTTCTCTGCTGAAATAGATCATTCCATTCAAAAGTGGAAAGAAAATTACCCAACCAAGAGACTTACTGCTGACTAGAGACTAATTTTTTTTCCATCCAAAATACAGAGAATTTGGGGGGTCCTGACAGCTTTGTTTTTATGTCCTATAGAGTTTTGCAGGAACTAATGCAGAGTATTTACACTGGCATGATAAAGCATAGTGCCTCCATGTTGGATTCTGGATTGTCTGGCTTTGAGTCCTGGCTCCATTGTTTGTCATCTGATTGACTATGGGAAGTTACTTAGATGCTTTCTACCTTAGGTTTCTTACCAAAAATGGGAAGAGTAATAATACCTACCATAGATGGTTGCTGTGAGGACAAAATTATTTCATACTTGTAAGATGATTACATGACTGCTGTGTAGCATGAGCTTTGTGTGAGTCTTAATTACCACTATTATTATGACAATAGACACCATGTTATCTTCTTTTTTTTTTTTTGACTCAGAAAATAGACATTCTACTTGACTTCCATGCTAAGTTTAATTAAAGAAGTTAAAGTGAAAATGAATGTTGTAGCCAAAACGAAAAATAAAAACAAAAGAAATGTCACCTCCCAGTGTAGTTTCCAAGTTGAGACACACGAATTTCAATGCACAGTGTTTCATATGGTTTTGATTCTTGAAATTGCCACCTTAAGAGTGTCAGATTGTCAGCTACATCAGTGAGCAGCTGGTAGCTGCACATGAGCACTACTGGCTGAAACCTTATCTGGAACCTGATTTTCTCATACATGTCTCCTCTTATGAAATGAAGCAGATTAGCTCTCACATATCTGGGCAACCACACTACTTTTTGAGGATGTAGTTTTTTAGTACAAGATAAAGGATCAATGATGTGTTCTGTTAAGTTCCCCTTTTTGGTATATTATTACCTTTTATTTTGTCTACTAATTTTTGTCTATTACCGGTTGTTAAATTCCAGATCTGGGTAGAGAGTTTTTCACTTAGTAGTTTATTCAATTATAGGGCTTAAAAATTTAGAAGTAATACAATTTTTAAATATGCAGGAGTAGACTAATGTCAGGGTAATTTCTGCAACTAGTTTATAACATATTCCCCCCCAAAGCTTGAATTTTGCAAGTRGTAATGAAACTGATATGGGTATCACTCACTTTGATTAGTAGTACTTTCTAAACACTTACTATATCATAACAGTGAATTTTTTTCAAAAATGATGTTTTAGTTTCAGCATAAAAATATGAACATTTAGAATCTTTCATTTGGTTTATTCTGATTTCGTTTATTAGCGCTACCAGAAAATCAGGAGAAATGAATACTTGTAGAACATTTACCCTTTGAGGCATTGAAGTAGGTACTTTAATAGAAGTATTTCATTTAGATTTCAAAGTATAGATTGTAAATTTGAAGCCCTCCTATAGGGAAGGAACTACACTTGCTAGGAAAAAAAGGTGCTTTTTGTTGTTGATTAACAATCTTGTCATTATGTACTCTACCAGTGCCATCAACAGCTCAGTCTGTACTTTTGGGAAACAGCTACCAGAACTTTCTGCCAGAAAGATTTAAACTCATGCCTACTAATCAATTAAGAAGGTAGACCTCAGCCATATTTTTTCCTCCATTTTACTTAAGCTTCTAAGCTAATATTTCACACGGTTATATAAAGCATTAATTTATTCCAGGGTTATTTCTTTAGTGCTTACTATTTATTACAGTGGGAGCTAGCAATTTACTCCTGAACTGGGTAGTTAGCAAATAATTCAGGTGAGATACTGTTACAAATGTTAAGGTACAGACTACTCTGAGAGTATTATCAAGATGTACACATTATATGGAGAACATTTGAATCACAGAGAAAGTAATATTTGAATGACTGCTTTCCAAAGGAGAAATAAAGATGAATCTATTTATTCAGTATTGTAGGGAGTTTTGAACCTTGGACACCTAATAGGGTGACAATTTTATGTAGGATACCTAACGTGACTATATTGACATGTATGTCTCAGCTACTTCCTCAAATAGCATAGCACAACATGACACTTGATATCTGCATATCAGCTCAGAGCTATGTCCTTTTCTTACTGTTAGATTAGCTAAAGTAATATTTTAGGAAGATAGATCCCAGATTGGAAATAACTGAACTGCCTGATAACTGTAAGTATGGATACACAGAGTGAATAAAAATATAACAGGAAGGAACAGAATTGCTCTCCTTTTATTAATTGCATCAGCATTGGTTCCTCTAAGTGCCTGAGAGGCTGTGGCTTTTCTAGCTGGGTTTCATTTCTGTCCTAAGTTCTGAACTTCTTGATTATACCCAAAGTCCCATAGCTTTCATTTGTGGGTATCACCTTTTCATAAATGTCATCTTCATCATTCTCTTAGGAGAACTTAAAGACTATGAAACTATAGACAAATAAAATATTCCTACCATGAACAGCAACCATGATTGTGTGGTCTTTTAGTTATCCAGTTGGTCTCAAAAGTAACTTCGAGTCATTATGACCTTTTATGGCAGATAGACCTCATATAACCCAGAGTGAACTTTCTTAAAAAATGAAATACTTAGAGCAGACCAGTATTTCCACATGGGAGTTTCACAAAGCACTGACATAGAATAATGTGAGATCTTCCCCCAGATGAAGAAGAAAAAAAGTTGGGAGTGGTGAAGAAGAGTCAATTACTTGAACTCCAGAGGCCTCCTGGAGGACTTTTGACAGTAGAATTTCTGTATACTGTTCCCTGATTGAGAGTCACAATTCATGCCAGTCTTAAAGGAGTCCTGCTGTAAAGAAATCTGGTTAATATATTTTTTTTAAAAAAACTTAGCCTATTTAAAATTATTTGACCATATATTTTTTTTCTTACCATACCAGCCAGCATTTCCCATTCTTCTGTATTTGGGTTCTTTTCTGCCATGATCCAACCATCGGTAGCTAACAATTTGTAGATCTTCATTCTGTAGGAGCTATAGCAAAAGCTTTCTCAGAGCATCTTATTAAATATCTAGATTGTTTAGAATAAGCTAGGGGTTTTATTTCTTTGGCAAAGCAAAACTTCATTCCTGAAGCAACCTTTAGTGCCCTGTGTAAGTGCTTCTGTTGCTCAAATGAGAGGCAGGACTGGTTGGCTACTGAGGAATGAGTAGAAACAGGTGAGCTTTTCATGACCCAGCTGTGTCCTGGATTGCAATTCTCCCAGGATGCGCTGGCCTGGGTGACCAATGTGCTCATGCCACGTTGCTCCATGGTGCCTGTGCCTCGTGCTTGCCTGCGGCAGAACTTGTGAATGGCTTGTGCTACCATTTCATTGCGAAGTACCCATGTTATGCAACTTTACAAATTTTATATTTATTGGCATTCCACAGTGATGGAGAAGGGAGGAAAAGGACCTCATCCACCTGCAGCAACGAGTCCCTAAATACTGGAGGAACCCCTGTCACTCCTCGCAGGATCTCCTGGCGGCAGCGCATTTTCCTTCGAGTTGCATCGCCGATGAACAAATCTCCCTCTGCAATGCAGCAACAAGGTATGTGTGTAATTGCTGAGGAGTTTCTCCCTGTGAGTGCTGTGAATTTGGGAAGGCAGTGGAAGTGGTTTGTGTGTAAAAAGATGTAAGAGATTCGAGTGGAGACATAACTTCTCTTCTGTATCTGATAGGTAGGTATCATCACAACCCATTAGACTTTAGATACTTGTTTTTTTTTTAATTTATTTTTATTAGTTGCACATGACAATACAATGATCTTGACATATCATACATTTGAATCAAATGGGGTATAATTTCTCATTTTTCTGAGTGTACAGGTTGCAGAATCACATTGGTTATACAGTCACGTATATACATACAGCAATACTAATGTCTATTTTATCGGTACTTGTTTTTGAATGAACGAGAGTGTGGGTTGCCAAAACCTGCTTTGGAATCTACTCCACAATGTGCAGGGAACTATGATAGTGCTGCAGAAGAAGTTGTAGATTTCTTTTTCTTTTTTTTTAATTATTAGAAAAGCAATACAGAATACAGTCTTTTATGAGAGTCATGCATAAAATAAAATGACAGAGAAATGAACAGTAAAAACTGGAAATATCACACTAGGCAAATATCAATTAAGAGAACATAGCAGCTTTCTTTGAATATTAGACCCTTTAGAAATTAAAGCAAAAACATCCAGAGGGACAAAGTAAATGTAGCATAAATGAAAAGGGAAACAATACTGAGAACATGAATTATTATATAGCCTTAGGAGCTAGAAAATGATACTTAAAAGAATTTGAGAATAAATAAATCAACTGCTCTCATGAGAGATTTTAATATATTTCCCTTTGAAAATTAAATATAGATAGTATTGAAGTGGTACAATTGAACAAGCTTGATCTAATATTTATATATAACTTTGCCTCTATAGAGAAAATTTATCCATTTTTAGCCACATGTGACACATTCATACAAATGGATTATGTACTTGGCCAAAAGATATTTTAATAAATCCCAGACAATCATGATTATGTGTATTATATTCTCTGACCATAGTGCCAAAATAAAAAGAAATGAAGGGAGGAAACAAGCATGAAAGAATGAATTAAAGACAGCTAGGGTTATGGATGTGGCTCTATGGTAAATCACTGCCTACCATGTGAGAGGTCTTGAGTTCAGTACCCAGGACTGCAAAGAAAAGAAGGACAACCGAAAATTTTTATGTGTTTGGAAACTATACTCGTAGAATGTGGAAGGAATAAAATATGATAACCTGTGCTCTGTATTTAGTATTTTGAGGGTAATTCACAATGTGAATGTGTTCATCTAAAATCAAGAAATCCAAAAGTCACATGTACTGGGTATTCAACTCAAGAAGCTGGAAAAGAATTAAAAGTAAAATCTATGAACAACCAAAACCCGAGGAAGTAAATAATAAGGGTAGGGGCAGAGATCAGTGAATTACAATGAGAAAAAAAGAAGAAAGCAGTTGGCATTGCTAAAGATAAAATTAACTCTGCCTAGGATGGAAGAGACAACTTCACAGAAAAATGGAATATTTAAACTCATCCCTGGAAGAAACTTGTCTTAGCAAAGTTCTAGAGTTGTGTGAGAGGACGTTGCAGGTCAGAGAATTGTGAGAAACTTTGCATGATGGGGCAGAGGACAGGAGCTTGAGACATGAGGCTGGAAAGGTGATTTGAGGCCAGAGTCTGGCGAGATTTATATTATTCCCAGTAGTCTGCACTTGGTCTCTCCGATGCAGTCATCAAGATGTTTTAAGAGATATGATTGTGTTTGTTAATAGGAAAATAATTGGCAGTATGCAGGGAACGGGCCAGAATGGAAGGAGAGAATGAGCTGCAGGGGATCAGTTAAGGAGACTTTGCAGGGGGAGGGAGCAGCGGGCCCCTTGAGATGCTCAGCCAAGAAGAATAGAGCATTGCTCAGCTGCTGCTCTCCTGGAGGACTCTTGACAGGAGGCATGGACCTTAGGAGATCTCCAGTACCTACCACCCATTCCTGTTTTGCACCAGAGAATATACGTAGGTAAATTGCAGAAGTGTTGGACTTTGGGGAAAGGCCAGTTCATTTTGGAGCGACTCCCTTACAGGTCTTTTTGTGTAAAAAGAAGAAGTGGTGAAATGACATATGCCTTTGTTTCACTGAATTCACTGAAGGGGAATTCAGCCTGGTAAATTTACTTAAATTGCTAGTTCCAGAAACAGTTGTTCTTGGGAAAGTGGCTCTGTGAACACCTTTAAATGTGGAAGATTAAGATGAGAGAGTGTTACTCTAAAGGAAGCTTCTGTAGTCTGAGCTACTACTAAGGAATGCCACTCACTGTTTTCTTCTCTGCAGATGGACTGGACAGGAATGAGCTGCTGCCACTGTCCCCTCTCACTCCCACCATGGAAGAGGAACCACTGGTTATATTCTTATCTGGCGATGATGACCCAGAGAAGGTCGAAGAAAAAAAGAAATCAAAAGAACTAAAGAGTTTATGGAAAAAAGCTATACACCAACAGATCTTGTTGCTTCGAATGGAAAAAGAAAACCAGAAACTTGAAGGTTAGCTATTCAAACAGGGCAAATGTTACACACACCCTCACACTCTTTCTTGGGCTGTAAATATCTGTTGATTCTAATTATTTTCACGAGACTTGGGAAAGATCAGCTAAAGATCTTTGCATTTTTGTTTGATAATAGAGTTGAAACATCAGAAGACTATGGGAATACATGACTAATAAAGATTATAGGTAACAGGGATTCAATGTATTTTACATGACTGAAAACTTAATATCATTGTGCATTACTCAAAAAAAAACCTTAAATAGGAAAAAGTATACTTTATTTTTTTAAATATAATTTTCAACTTGCAGGATAGATGATATTTATAATGAGTGAAACATTCTTGTTTTAAATAAGTTATTTTTCTGTTATATCTATTTTAACTGTTTAATTGTAATTGCCTCTTATAAAATCAGAGTTCCTATTTTTTGTTAATGCTTTATAAATTTTCTTTTTAAGAAATCATAGTCAAATTGTTAAATTCACAGCCAAATAATTTATAATAACTATTGTTTTATTTGTGGTACTGGATTGTTGGGTTTTTGAACACTAAATGCTTTAGAATGTGTTTTTCAGCTTCTTCCAAAAATGATTCCGTTTGCTTCTGTTCTGATATAATCACACAATAAGATGTCCAGATAGTACAAAAATGCAAAAGGTATATAAATATCATTATCTTGGGCAAATTGCTTCTGAGAAGGCCCTTGGCTTTATATCTTATAATGAACAATTTAGGCTAAAGAGACCCTCTGACTATTACGATTATTGTCAAATGAACAATACAGGTTTTTCTCTCACTTGCTTTTATTGTGTTGTCTTCCAAAAGTTTTTTTTTAATGCAGATTTTCACATTTCTAAATTCATTATCTGTGTTAAGATTCTTATTAACACACCTATTGTTCATTTTTTTATTTTAATAATATTTTGTTTACAAAGACATAGTTTCTTTTTTCTTTTTTGTTGTTATTTTCTTAGCAGATAAAATACATAAAATGCTAAATATCCTTAGGAAATAAATCTTTTAAAATTAATAATTCAATTAATTGTTATTGACACAGCTTTGAAAAGTTCTGCTTGATAAATTGTATATGAACTCAAGCTTCTCAAAGATTTCTGCAGGAATTGCATTCATAATTTTAAGCAGTTGGTTACATCTTGAATTAAATCATAAACAGAAAAGGATGTTGAAAAAAAGAGGGTTACCATTTCCTTAAAACATTTAAAACATGAAATTACACTTCAGTTGGGACTTAGGTACAAATACAATCTTACAATAAACATCAAAGGATGGTTTTACAATCATAGACTATTTGAGGGAGCAGGGCCTTAGGGATTGTTTAGCTGGGTTCTTCCTTCTGTAGCCGAGTTAGTGACAAGCTTGGGGAGGCTAAGGAATTAACCCAAAGTCACATAATCACATAAACCAGCAGAACAAGTTCTGGGACTCGTGGCTCTTGGGCTTTTCTGAATATGCTACAGTATTGCTTAGCTCTGTGTGCTCATACAAAGAAATGGAATGTTTTAATATAAATGACCACAAGTATGTTTTGAGGTCAGTTATACTATATAGTTTTGAGGGTAGGAGAGGCGATTTTAGAATATCTTACCAGAAACCTTTATCAGTTCTGCGTATACTTCTTTACTTAAGTAACAAAGGCATAAATATAGTTTATTAAAATTTGAGCCAGTTGATAATCATTTCTTGGTGGTTTTGTATTCCTGCCTAGTGAACCAGTTGTAGGGAGATAGATATTAACTGATCTTGCCATTTTATCCTTAGGGCCTACTGAATAATAGGTGATTATTTTAAACACACTAAAGAAAGTTCGAGAAAAATATCTAAGGGAATGTTATACTTTGTTCACTGTGAAGCAAGTCATTAGTGAAACTATATGTAGGATGGTATTATTGTTAATAGGTATTGGTTAAGGAAACAGAAAGTGAGAGGCAAAGCTAAACTGTGTTAGACAGCCATCTAGTGGTAGCCAGGGGGGATATTTTTGTAGCATGATATATCTTTCTTCCATCATTTAATCAGGGATTTTTACTGTCCTGGTTGAAGAGCAGTCTGTTTTAAGACATTTTGATTCTTTGAAAATGGTTTCAAAGATACTAAGTAAAGAGTAACATTCGTTCTGTTGTTTTTGTGCTGTCGAGGACTTTGGATGCATGACAAAGATTTGTGTTGCAGAAGGTAAGGGCGGGGGGGGGCACTCTGATAGATTCCTGGCCATGGGACCCCAATGAAAGGGTAAAGACCCTCATCTGTGTCTCTTTCTTTTCCCCTTTGCAATCTATTATTCAAGATCAAGATGAGTCAAGATAGTGATGGATTTTGTGAACACTTTTTTTGGGGGAGGGGCTCTGGGCCTATCTTTTATATCAACAAATTTGAGATAATTCTGTATTAGTTAAAAAGTGGAATTAGTGTTAACTTCAGTGAAGTGGGTTTTCCTTTTTAAGATTATTAAAAATGGAGGCTATGGAATGTAGCTCAGAGGTACATGCATATACATGAGGCTCTGAGTTCAATCCTTAGCGCCAAAACCAGAAAAATGTTATTAAAAATGAACACAGGAACCTACTATTCTTAGGAGATATGTGAATAAGTTTGAAAGTAGTTATAGAAATTTATGAGGTTGGGATGGTCAAATATTTTACAAGTTAGCATGAGGTCATGTCTTCTCATATGTCTTGTCTCTCTTGTCTTCTCATTTGTCATCTGAAACGTTAACACTTTAATGGTATTTAAGACAATGTGAGCTGTCACTGCTGAGACAACCCCATTTGTCAAGAAGTTAAAATTTATACTGTAACTCCACTAAGCACAACACTCAAGCATATTGGCTATCAAAGCATGTTGGCTATCATGCTTGAGTTTTGTGCTTAGTGGGGTTATAGTATAAGACAGAGTAATATCTTCTTAAAAAGTTTTTGCTTGTATTTTTTCATGGAAATGACTGAAAGTTTGAGAACTTTTAATATTATCCTCAATTTTACTCTTTGAGTAAATATTGGTCATGGATTCCTAAAAGTCATTGATATGTTTTTACTAATGCAGTATTTTAAAACGGTTATTCTAAGACACACTGGTCTTAATAAATCCTTTTTCTTTTTTAGCAAGAAGAGATGAACTTCAGTCCAGAAAAGTCAAGTTAGACTATGAGGAAGTTGGTGCATGTCAGAAGGAGGTCTTAATAACCTGGGATAAGAAGCTGTTAAACTGCAGAGCTAAGATCAGATGTGACATGGAAGATATTCACACTTCTCTAAGAGAAGGTACTTGGGATAATCTCCGGAATCTTTTTAAAGAAAAGCCTCAGATTTTTTTTTTAACAAGTTGTGCATCTCAGTAATAATTTTGTCTTTGTGTTTAGCTTATAAAAAAGGAAAGTAATGTGCTTCTGCCTGCAACTTGGTGACATGATTGGTAAGAAAATGGTGCTGATGGAGGTCCTGTCCCAAGGAGGCAGCAGGATGCTCTTATGCTGGCTCAACTGTGTCAGCCAGCTCTTTTTAGCTTTTATTGTTTGCCAAAGAAGAATCACATGTCTTGGTACAAATCTTTGATCACTGCCAGAAAACTAGTTCAGATTTACAAACTGGGCTCATTTCCACAATTTATTCAGAAGTATTTGTTTACATATATGTGTATATTTATATGAAGGTGTAGATACACTCACAATATCTGACTTTATAGGTAAGATTTATATTCTGATGAATTAACCAAGTTTCTCTCTCCATTTATTCCTTCATTTATTTTAGAGAAATTGCTTGTTTAAAGCCATTGAATTTATTGTTGCTTGATAAACATTTTTAATAAATTAATTAATTAATTTCTAGAGATTGAACCCAGGGATGCTTTACCACTGAGCCACATTCCCAGTCTTTTTTTATTTTTTGTTTTGAGACTGGGTCTTGCTACATTGCTGGGGCTGGCCTTGAACTTGTGATCCTTCTGCCTCAGCTTCCCAGGTCACCCGGATTATAGAAAACATTTTAAGTTTAAAATGAAAACTAATGTTTGAATATTTTAGGTACAATTTCTATGACCCACATTAAATATACTAAAATGAGAATTTCCATGACAATATGAGTGTAAAATAAAAATCTGACAGATCAATCTTATTTTCTTTTTTCTCTCTAAAATTTTGCTTAGTATTGGGAATTGAACCCAGGGCCTTGAGCACTATACCACTGAGCTACCTCCCCAGCTCCTTGTTGTAAAAGCATATAATAATATGTAAAACATAGTTTAGATTAAGGTAAGATTCACTTTGTAAGATTCCATATTTACAAGTCTAATATGCTGTTCTTTTTTCTTGAAGATTTGTAAATTCCAAAGGTTTTCATTGAATGCACTATTAGGGAGAGAAAAAATAGTGCTTAATGAATGTGTGTGAACTATTGATCTCACCATTCTTTGATATGACTTCTAAAGATGTTTTTAAATGGGTGGGGGTCTACACCTAGTAGACCCTAATTTATATAAGACCCTGGGTTCAGTCCCCAGCACCGCAAAAATAAATAAAATAAGCATTGTTAGGAGTGCTCATCTTTGAATTCCTTATAGACGTAGTTGAAACTGTACCCAAAGCCTTCATACACTCTTTCCTCCATTTCTCCAGTCTCATTCTTCGCCTCTCCCTGCCTTCTATACATAAATCCCTCGGAGAGGTACAACTACTTTGGGTGATGGTATGTCCCAAGCTAGTGTGGAATGTGTGGAATGTTTCAGTCCTCCCCAGACTAGATCTTCCTTACCTCTCTTCCTTCTCCCCTCTTCCCATCTCCATTTTATCCATTYTCTCTTCTTCTCTCTTCTTTCCTCTGCCCCTCTCAGGTCCTTCACATCTCTTCCTGAAGTCATAGCTGCCCACACTCCTACTTCTGTTCTCCCCTCAGGCCTCAAATATCATTTCCTCAGAGCACCATCCTTGCCTTACCGCCAAAATAAAGTCGTTTTGATTTATTATTCTTTCTCATGATCAGTGTATGTACATAGTTTGTAATGTTGTGTGTTTGTGTTTATTGTTTTTCTTGCCCTGTCAGTGCCCACATAGCACCCAAACAGTATTTTCCACAAGTTATTTACTGAATGAATGGGTGGATGAGACTAATTTTCCTGAGAATGGGTTTATTCATCTCTCAGGGTGATAAGGTATCCTCAAGGCCACACTCTATACTCCATTACATACTGGATGCTGTTTAACCAAAGTGTGTAAGGTGGTTTTTTTTGGTAATTTTTTTGTTATATGGATAGTTTAAACAGCCAGCAACCAAGAACTATTAGTGATTGATTTAGTGGGCTAATAAAAGTCACCCTCTAAGATTCACATGTTATATGCTGTCATTCATTCATTCCCAAATATTTAAGTAACAAGGTCCAAGAATATAAGATGAAAGTAGACTTCCATTCCCAAGGAGTTCACCATCAAGGTTGGGAAGTATACAAATAGACAGTATAGAGCTAACTGTAGTTCAATATGGTAATGTTACAGTATGAATGGTGTGTGAAAAGGAAGTGACTATGTCGCTTAGAGATGTTAGGGAGGGCTTCAACGGAAAAAGTGATATTCAGGATCATCTATAAAGAAGAACAGAAATACTTGAGGCCATTGAGAGAGAGAGACACAGAGAGAGAGAGAGAGAGAGAGAGAGAGAGAGAGAGAGCAAGCGCAAGCGTGTGCACAAGCGCGCGCACGAGCGCTTAAAATTCCATAAAAGCCACAGCAGGAGCTAGAAATTGGGAAAGTGAAAATAACCACAAACTTCTAGTGTTTGTCAGGGAATGGGGCTAAAAAAGAGAGCTTGGTCGGCAGCACCCTCTGGGCGGCAATGCTCTCAGCTTTTGCAAACACTGGCGTTGTAGTCAGAAGAGATTGCTGTCTTCAAACCTTCCCTTAACCAGCTGGAGCTCAGGGGCCCATTCAGGTCCATTCTATTTGAAATAAAAACTCTCGATGAGGGAAATAAAAAGTTGGCTTCCCTGTACAGAACTGAATCCTGTCCCTCCTGTACTTACTTCATGTGAAACATAAAAACATAGTTGTAGCATACTTTGAACTGCTTGTGATACCCTTTGATTTTTCAGGCATGATTGAGTCAAAGTTTCATTATATGTACTCAGTATTTTTTTTTATTGAAGGCTGAGTGACATTCTTGGTTGCCTCCTGGGATGTCCTCATCTTGTGTTTACTATTTTTTATCATTTTATGATTACATACAATGATATTTAATTCTTTTTTGCAAAGTTACTTGTGGATGAAAAATAGAAAAATTGTAATATGAGGATTAACATCTGTGGCTGTCTTTGAGCTACATAAAAAGTAGAAATAGGCAGTAATACATTTTTGGATTTCAGAATTTGGCTGTTGAAGCCAGACTTTCAGAGAGCTGATTCTGTGCCATCCCTTATTAGCTGTGGGAACTCAGGCAAATTGCATAATCTCCCACCTCAGCATTTCTGGGTGTAAAGTGGGAATAATGGTGGTTACCTACTTCTTAGGGTTGTTCTCTGAGTGCACATATGAGACTTGGTGGCTAACACCCTCAGTAAAATCTTTAATTAGGTGCTCAGTGTTGCCCAATGACTGTCATTGTGGCCCCAGTTATTATTTGAAAACTTCCGTTCATGAGACATCAGGAGCTATAGGATAACACTTGTCAAACAGTGGTTCAGGCAGTACATTATACCAYGTAACCATGACCTGGGGTTGACAAGCCGTCCAGTCCAGCTGCCTATTTTCAAGAATTAAATAGTTCTTTGACTGCAAGCTAGCAACTTGATTTCAGAGTTAAAAGCCTGACCTTTTTCGTTTTTGTTTATTTTTTTACTATTTCTTTGATTGTAGGAGTTCCCAAAAGTCGACGAGGTGAAATTTGGCAGTTCCTGGCTTTGCAGTATCGCCTGAGACACAGGTTGCCTAACAAGCACCAACCCCCAGACACATCCTATAAAGAACTTCTGAAGCGGCTYACCGCCCAGCAGCATGCTATCCTTGTGGATTTGGGTATGTGCATCATGTTGATTGTAATTAACAAAAGAGAGCAGGTTTGGGGCTTTGTTTGTTGGTTGGTATCAGCAGAACTGCAGACCTTCCTCTCTGGGGTAAGTTAGCCTTAAATCTGATCGAAGACACTATAAATGCCTGAGTCTAAAATGAAGTTTTCATCCCCAAACTTGCCCTCTGAAAAAGGTACTGTAAAGAGTGGTCTCTGTGTTTTGAATAACTGACTTTTAGGATAGACAATTATATCTTAATCAGTGCTGGTTTCAAAATAGGTTAAAAGAGGACCAAAAAAAATTTAGCAAAGTTTTACCCTCGACCTATGGCTGAAAGCAAGCCTGTAGTTATCACTTTAAAAAGTAATATAGAGGGCTGGGGATGTGAGTCAGAGTATATAGCACTTGCCCAGTATGCTCCTGGGATCGATTCAAGCCCTTGATTCAAGTCCCAGCACTTCAAAAAGCAAACAATACAGGGGTTGCCTGTCTGTAACCTCAGGAGTGACTGGATGGCATTTGATAAGACCACAAGTGGACAGCTCAGAGGGCAGAAAAATAGGCTCAGCCTGTTCTTTATAAGGAAGATAGAGGGAGCCACTGTCCACATCCCAGGGACAAAAAATATCAATACAATAAATGGTTATGCTGTAGGCATCATGGATACCTACCTCTCAGATGGATGAAAAATTAAGTTACTAATGAAAGAATGGGTACTTATGACCTGAGGGAGGATTTCCAGTGACAGCATTGTAAAGCAATCTTTTTAATGCTGAATTTCAAATAATTTATGAAAAATAAAATCCAATGATTTAAAATATCATATTGTCTCTCCTTTCCCTAAATTAACATGTTTTGTGTATTTTATTTAAAAATATCTAAATATTGTCCATTGGTGTTTGACTATTTCATCTGTACTCCTAAAAGGTGATGATTGCCATTGGCCAGAAATGTTATTTGAGCTCATGAGGTAAACAGGAGATTACCTTATATTTGGGGTCATTTCATATTAGGGCATATAAAAAAAAAATCACTGGCTAAAATCTAGTTTTTACTCTGTTCCTTTTGGATGACAAACAGCTTTTCTTGGGGAAGGGCCCAGCTTAATTAAATACTTTTTGAGCCCAGTAGAATTAAAATGGAAATTTTATAGAAACACTAAAAACTTGAGTTCTTGTTTTGATTCTACCACTAACTGTGGTCCTAGATTGCTTTGCTTCTGAGTTGCAATTTGCTCTTGTTAAATGGAGGCATGAACTAGGCAATCCCTGGGATCCCTTGCAGAGCTGTAGTTCCAGGATGATATGTTGGTGATGAGAAATAGGATTGAGGTGTTGCAATCAGGGTTAGTCAAGATTTGCTAGCAAAGAGGGAGATGAGATCAGGTAACAAGGAAAAGCTGACAAATATGGAGCTGGACTCAGCTTCTTGGATAGTGTATTTTTAGTTTTTGTTTGCAAAAATGTTAAGTGAGAGAGTAAAATGATAATTTGGAAAATTGCTTATTTCGCTCTACTTGTAGCCATCTGTGTTTCTGCAGCATATTTTTGTTATTTTCTCATTTCTTCTCCTTACTCTGCAGAATTAATCTTATCAGTTCCTGGAAAAAAAATCACTTTTAAGCATATGTAGTAGAAAACATGTAAAAAATCTGACATTCTTGCAAATTCTAACTAACTTGAGTAATCATTTCACAAGGAAGCTAGTAACATCCCCTTCATTTTTTTGTGGTATAAGACAAGTCCCAAAGCAGCATGTACAGTTTTGGTAGAGAAGATGGATCTGATTTAGTACCTGGCACCAGCTCTTTAGTGACATAGGACTGTGTTTGTTTGCTAACTGGTGTTTCTGTGCTAATTTTTACCCAGAGGTAAATTTGGAGGGAATTTATTTGAAATCAGCTCTACCCTTTATGCTCCTTGTCCTCCTCAGATATATTATATATAACATAGATATGGATATAGCCATATATGTGTATACACACACACACGTGTGTGTGTGTGTATATATTTTTTGGAGATAATGAAAAAAGAAAAGGGATCTACATGGTTCATGAAGGCATTTTAAGAAACACAGAACAAAGGATATTTTAAAAAGAAATATTTYCCAAATGACAAACTGAATATAAAGTGAAACAAAACCACAAAGCCCTTCCAATATTAAAATTATAAGAAAAGCAGCAATAAATCTGTTTATGACTACTAACATTTTAAAATTTATTTTTCTCCCCCTTGGTGCTGGGGATTGAACCAAAGCCTCTTGTACATGCTAGGCAAGCACTCTGTCACTGGGCTAATCTTCCAGTTGTAGAATTTCCTTTTCAATAATATGATCCTTCTTATATAAGTTCTGACTTCAGTTAGAGGGTGGTTTTTAGATGGATTTAGAATTTGTCCTGATTTATAGTCAGAATACATTTTGAGTTCTGTTCTCTGGCAATCTCTCCTGGATATGTTGTTTGTTTGTCTGGGGATTTTCATTGTCTCCTGTTGTTTGGTGGAAGGAATACTGGTTAGTATAAAATGTTTGCCCCTGTACCATATATGTGGAGGTGGGATGGGAGCCTGGCAAGTACAACTTGGGGCTTGAAGCAAAGAGAGAAATTATGAGATGAAAATTCCAAGCAGCTGTCACCAGTTTGGGAGGGTGCTCATTTGTTCCTGAAGTTCACCAATTTGCATTTGCACCCTGCTCTCCTCTAAGAGGTCTTCTCTTTCTTTGCAGGAAGGACATTTCCTACTCACCCCTACTTTTCTGTACAGCTTGGGGCAGGGCAGCTGTCACTCTTTAACCTCCTAAAGGCCTACTCTTTGCTGGACAGTGAAGTGGGCTACTGTCAGGGGATCAGCTTTGTGGCTGGAGTCCTGCTTCTGCACATGAGTGAAGAGCAAGCCTTCGAGATGCTGAAGTTCCTCATGTATGACCTAGGCTTCCGCAAGCAGTACAGACCTGACATGATGTCGCTACAGGTGAGGCTGTGGTTCTTCACAGGGAGTGCAGGAGACAGGAGGCTGTCACCAGAAATCTTGGTCTTCTAAATTACAGTTCAGATTTAAACAAGTTTGGTCCCATTGTCTTTAAGAGTGTGGGATTTGGGATTTTGCTAAGTACCCAATTACTTAACAGTGCCTATGGGGAGTGCTCACCAGGACACAAAATTACAGTGATTTGATTCCTGGTTGAAGACTGTTCATAGGTCTGTTTAATAATGACTGTGGAGTATTTTATTTTTTACTTTATTTTGAAAATAAATGTTATATTGGATAGGATGCATTGACATCATTGTGAGGAATTAAATAGCTCTGATTTTCAGAGACAGCAGTTTGATAGCTATCATTAGAATTCCAAAGAATGGAAGGTACCTGTGTGTAGTGTTTGATTTTGGTCCAGAGACGGAAACATGGCTCACTGTTGGTTTTAAAATACAATGATTTTTCCATTTAAAAATTCCTCATTGAGCTGGAGATATATCTCAGTGGTGTATCTCAATGGTAGAGTGCTTACCTACCATGCATAGGACCCTGGGTTCAATTCCCAGAAACACACACACACACACACACACACACACACACACCCACACACTCTCTCTCATCAATTTGACATGACAAACGTCCATGTAGATAGGATTTATACATTAACTTAATAAGGCATATAGTTACCAAGAAATATTTTATGTCTCTAATTTTGAAATTGTAGATGTTTAAAAATCTTTGATGATAGCCAGGCACTGTGGCTCACACCTGTAATCCCAGCGACTTGGGAGACTGAGGCAGAAGGATCCCAAGTTCGAAGCCAGCCTCAGCAACTTAGTGAGACCCTGTCTCAAAATAAAAACTTAGAAAAGGGTTGGGGATATGGCTCAAGGGTTAAGTGCCCCTATGTTCAATCCCTGGTATCCATTCTTCCTCAATCAAAAAAAAAAAAAAAATCATTGATGGCAGCCTCCTAGGCTACAAAATCAGGGACCTTAGGAGAGTGGACCTTTATGCTTTATAAAGTGGGATGTAGCACTTTTTCACTTTCTAGAGCAGGAAGTGGGTGGTTTTGGTCCAATCAAGACTTTCACAAGTATGCATAAATGCCTGCCGCAGTGGGTCAGTACTCTGTTGACAGGATTTCTGATTTCTTTCTTCACTGTTGGTGAGCTGGGACACTCCTGGCTTTCTGTTTCAGTTATCTTATCTGTAAAATGAGGGGTTGAGGTCTTTTTCAACTTTAAATGTCTATATTTTATCACATTGTGTTTCTACTTATTTTGTGAAGTCTGTGGTCTCTTTTTCTATCTTCTCTCCCCTGCCTATCTYTCTGCCTTTCTCCCTCTAGTTCTAATTCTTCCATCTGGAGATCTGCCTTGCTATCAATAAAGTTGAGTTGAAGTTATTTTGTTTTTAGCAAGTAGGAGTTTATTATCAGAGCTTTCTTTGAAGGAAGCTTGAATTTTCACCTTATCTGCCCAAATCTACCTTGATATCCTCAACTCCAAGTTTAGAAAGTAGAAGGAAATAAGTAGCTCATTGACCATGACTTATTGAGAGAATAATCTCATTTTTTTATGTCTCACAGTGGCTTGGATTTATTTATTTATAATAATCTTATTTAAAAAGATCTTTTATGTTTGACTCCAGCTAAGCTGCTTATTTTATAGTTATGATTTCCTGTGGCTCTTTGATTCCTTCCTTCACAGCTTGTGTGGAAACTTAGTTTTCAAAGATATATCCATGTTAATGTCAATCACCTAATTAAAACTTCCTATTTCCCCACTGGACAAATCTATATGTTTATAGAACCGATAATGTTAATATAAGTAACAAATACTGTTTCCCTTTATAAGCTTATATCAGACCAAGTAATTCACAGATAGTTAACAGCCTAATTATGCAACTTAAATAGCTAGATTATTATTAATTATATTGTTCATGCAACATAGGTGTGTATCAGGAGAAACATAAGGGTCAAACATAGCTGACTGTATTTATATATAGTATTTTATCACTTTTTTTTTTCCAAATAAGTCACCTTACTTTTAGTTTGTACTCAGGAAACTACTGTTGAATTTATGGTATAATTGGTTATTTGTATTTTCATAGAGCTACCTATGTAGGGTGATACTTGAAGAATTTCTTCTAAAGAAACTCTACTAGATTTAATAAAATAATGCATACACGTCACAAAATATTAAACATATGTAACTGATCAAGAAACGTTATTTTTTAACTCTGTGGATCGAAATTTAAATTAAAGTACAATATATCGTTATTGCTATAACTTTGGCAATATAGACATAGAGTTTTTTTGTTTTAGTTCTTATATGATGTCTTCATAATGTTCTTGAAATGCCAGTAATCAACTTGGTGGGCAAATGAAATAATTTCTTTTAATTCTGGAAGCATTCAGAAACAACTGCACTAACTATTTTAATCCCATGAAAAATATGTTGCTTAAATAACTTGGGTATTAGAAGAAACACCTAAAGCTTCTGGCCCCAGGACATTTTAAACTTCTGCTGTATCACAGCAGCATAGGATGTCACAAATCAGATGCTGAGCCCAGCAAATAGAGGCGAGCTTTGTTTCTACACTGAACATTGTAGATATCTTAAAATGGGCGCTTTTTTGGAACTGGTCTGAAATTAGAAGGTACTGTCCATGGAAATTCAAAGCCAGGACAGTTCTGATTAAATTACATAAGCAATTCCATGTGTATGTAAATGATCCCTAAACACACATGATAGAAGACCTTGCTCAAGACATTTACATGGACTTATAGTAACTTGTTTTATGAACCTCAGTAACATGAACTTGGAATTGAATATCAACTTTAAATTGAAAAAAAAATAAAGTCATACTCATTTTTATTATTTATTGAGTATATAAGAATTGTTATGAAATATTAAAGTATTAAAATTCCAATGTACACTTAGATAAGTGCATCATATTTAATTTTTTTTCTCCAAATTAACTTTAGATTCAGATGTACCAGCTGTCCAGGCTCCTTCACGACTACCACAGAGATCTCTACAATCATCTTGAAGAAAATGAAATCAGCCCCAGTCTTTATGCGGCTCCCTGGTTTCTCACACTCTTTGCCTCTCAGTTTCCATTAGGATTTGTAGCCAGAGTTTTTGGTAAGAGATACTTGCAACCTAACGAGACAGTGCTATTGATTCTAGGTAACATCCTTCTAGCCGTGTGATGCCTTGAATATTTTATCATGTGTTACACAGGATAGCACATTGCTACACTATTGTTTGGAGAAACTTTGTCTTTCTCCAATCATAGTGTTCAGCACTAGGTGGGAGAGGGGACCGTATGTCATGATCTATGCTCCCTTTGGGGGCCCTTAAACCTAGTCACAAGTCTTTAGTTTGGTTTATCTATTGTTTGAAAAGCCAAAAAATAAAACAATAACTATTCCCTAGAGGTTCGTTCTAATGATGTTGTTAGGATCATGGTAGCCTCAGAAAGGGCTTACACAATTTTTATGTTCTGTTCATGTATTTAGAAGCCATGGTCAAGTCGTCAGTACTTGTTCATGGCTGTGCTTTTGCTAGATTGGAGCTTTTTTGTCAAATTGTGAGTATTGATACAATTGTAGGTAATTACCAGCATTTTGGAAAAAGAAGAATAGAATAGAATTCATTGAAATTCATCAGGATATTACAAATAACATGGGAAAAATGCTATTGGGAGAAACTTTGGTTTTGAAGACATAGGTGTAATGTGTATACCTATACCAGATTATAATTCTTTGTGTCTTTCTTTGCAGGGGGCTATGGTTTTAAAAGTTAAGCACTATGTTAGAGGGAATGCAACCTATAGACAGAGTTTAGCGAGAGGGAGAAATCAGATTGTACTAAATCAGATGGTCACCAGATTTCTCTTGTTTATTGAACATACATGGTTGCTTTTCTCCAGTGAAGTGTACTCTGGAGTTTGTGTTCCTATTAATGAATCTTTAGAAATCCTTTTATGTATGCATTTCTCAGAAATATATAAAATCCCTTTGTATATGTATTTCTATGTCAAGTTGAAATAGTGTTTCAGGCCATCTCTTCGACTTGCCCTTGGAAGCTTGCCATCAGAGCTCAAGACCCAAGTGTCCCCAGTAGTCTTGCTTCTTGTTATGAGATCCTGATGGGAGCTGTCAGCTGGACAATAGTTGCTTAATTCTTTTCTTTGAATTTAGTAGAAAATAGAGACTGTCAGGAAGGGAAAGATGTGTGAGCAAGAAGAGGGACCACGTTTTTTTCTTTCACAGTTCCTTCCTTTTTAAAAATTTTTAAAAAATTTGTTTTAATTAGTTATACATGACACTAGAATGCATTTATGCACTTTGACACATCATACATAGATGGGATATAATTTCTCATTTTTCTGAGTGTACATGTTGCAGAATCATATTGGTCATGTAGTCACTATATACATAAAGTAATAATGTCTGTTTCATTCTACTATCTTTCCTACCCCCACATCCTCTCCCCTCCCTTCCCATCACTTCCCTCTACATAATCTAAGGTAAAGCTGTTCTTCCTAGTACCCCTCACCCTATTGTGAATTAACATTAGAATATTAGAGAAAACATTCAGCCTTTGGTTTGGTGGGATTGGCTTATTTATTTAGCATGATATTCTCCAACTCCAACCATTTACTGGCAAATTCCATAATTTTACTCTTTTTTTTTTAAAGCTAGTAATATCCATTGAGTATATATACCACATTTTCTTTATCCATTCATCTGTTGAGGGACATCTAGGTTGGTTCCATAGTCTAGCTATTGTGAATTGAGCTGCTATRAACATTGATGTGACTGTGTCACTATAGTATGCTGATTTTAAGTCCTTTGGGTATAAACCAAGGAGTGGTTATGCTGGGTCAAATGGTGGTTCCATTCCCAATTTTCTGAGGCATCTCCATACTGCTTTCCATAGTGGCTGCACCAATTTTCAGTCCCACCAGCAATGTATGAGTGTAGCTTTTCCCCCACATCCTTGCCAACATTTATTGTTGCCTGTATTCTTGATGATTGCCATTTTGACAGGAGTGAGATGAAATCCTAGAGTAGTTTTGATTTGCATTTCTCTAATTGCTAGAGATGTTGCACACTTTTTCATATATTTGTTGATCAGTTGTATTTCTTCTTCAGTGAAGTGTCTGTTCAGTTCACAGTTCCTTCTTTTTAAAAAGACTTTGTGTTGTATATCATTGATAAAATAATGGCATATATTGAGAAATATATTCATACAAATGTATTTGCTATTTTTCAAAACTATTGCATGTTTGCATTTGCAAGGAAGCAGAATTTGGAATAAGGGTAACTTTTCTGATTTAGATTATAATTTTGTTATTAGTTTTGATTTTTCTTTTAAGATTTTTAAATTTTTTATCTAATATAAATTTAATTATATAGTAACTGTCTCATTTACTTTTTATTATAAGATTTTGAATAGTAATAATTGGCTGTGTTGATTTGCTTTTATGTTCTGTTGTGAAAAAAATCTAAATATCAGTTGAAAGTGTCTAGTCTCATGAATTTGCTGTTAAAAATTATAAGAAACACATAAACAAACAGATATATATTTTTTCCTCTGTTCCCCTAGCTTTATCTGAGATTCCTAATAAAGTAAGGGGAATAGTCACACATCTGTCTGTTTTAGTCATATTATTATATTTTTAAATTAGGTGATTTTGACCAGTTTTATTTTGCAAAATATTCTTTGGTTATGTTGAAATAATAAAACGAGTACCTTTAGCACAAAGAATATGCCTTTGACAATAGTGAATGAATAATTTCAGTCATGAAATTATCATCTCTTCTTTTAGATATTATTTTTCTTCAGGGAACTGAAGTGATATTCAAGGTTGCACTCAGCCTTTTGAGTAGCCAAGAGACTCTTATAATGGAGTGTGAAAACTTTGAAAACATTGTTGAATTCCTTAAGAACACGCTCCCTGATATGAATACCTCTGAGATGGAAAAAATTATTACCCAGGTATGACTTGAATGATAATAATAAGATTATATAGCAGTTTCTCTGCTGATTATATGGTAAATGCTTTAGCATACAAGTACAGTTTTGCTTGACAGGTATGTTTTTTAACTTTGATCAGTTATATTTTATTTAGAAATTATGCTATTGTGAAATTTTTATATTGTGACATTGTTTATCTGACTGTGCACAGGAGATGTGATTTAGTGTTACATAATGGGTTTTTCAGGAATACTTTTCATTGAAACTGAAAATAGAAGTCACAATCAGGAAGATCTGAGAATAAAATGAGATCTCCTTGCCTTTGTATTTTTAATTTTGTTGTAAAATATAGAAGGAGGTCATAATGCAGGTGTGCAGATTTTGAAATTAGAAAGTATTGGGTTTGCACCATCTTCTAGCTTTATTTTTTCTCCAAGAAATGTTTTTTGCTGACATTATTATCTATTAGTTGGTCTCCTATTAGTTGTGTGGCTTGCAAATATCACCCTAATCTTCAGAACCCTAGTTTTCTCAGTTCCAAAATGGGTCAGTACTGACCTAAGAAGTTTTGTGAAACTTAATAAGGAGACATCGTCTCCCTCTGATGATTCAGACAAAGGAAACATTTATAGAGGTATGGGTGGCTTAAGGGAATCTGGCATCTGTGTCCAGGTGCCCAGGAACTATAAGCAGAGGGAAGCTGTTCCTCCCTGGTGCTGAGGGGGCATGTGAAGGATATAAGGTGTTACCAGAATCAGTGGGAGCCAGAAATGTGAAGGAGGGGATCCTTTCACAGTTACTGTGCTCTTAATAAACTAAGTAGGACAGGATTAGAAAAGAAGGACCTGTACCCTTCTGATCTCCAGCTAGCACCTCCCATTGACCAAACCCAATCAGAAGCCAGCCAGAAAGGAATTGTGGGGCATGTGGTTCACAGGAGTCTGCCTCTTGGTGCATAGTAGAAGGGATGAGAATAGAGAAGGGATCCAAAAAGCAAATGGAAAGTAATCTGCACACCATGTATCTAGTCCCTGGCTCTTCATAGAGACCTGGTGAGTGGTAGTTATACATTGTTCAGATGAAGTGAACAAACTGAAGACCAGATTTGTAGAACGTACAGTAATGCTTTGTGAGCATTGATAGAGTTTACTACTTTTCTGGAAGCACTTGGGATAGCAGAAAGAAGACAAGAGTTTAGAGAAGAGAAAGTAAGTTTGAGATTTGTTTTGGTGACTCACCACATCATAGTCATTTTGAGGAATGACAGCCTCTCTGAGTCTCAGCTTCCCTACAAAAAGGGAAGAACAATAATCAAATCCTATTATGTCTTCATATTATAAGTTAAAGTATTTTATATACTATAATGTGAACTCTGGATTATCTTTCCATTGCATGGAACCTAAACCACAAGCAGAACATTCTGTAAATATCCAATAATAGTTCTTCATTTGTTAAGATACTCTAAGTGGAGAAGGGTAGCTTTTATTTACGTATTTACTTATTATTTGAAAATATCTTTTGACTGGCAAGCAGTCAGAGATTATGCTTTTGGGATTTGAAATCAGATATTACCTCAGTTAACGAGGAGGTCTAGGGGTGTAGCTCAGTGGTAGAGTGCTTGCCTAGCATGTGCAAGACTCTGGGTTCAATCCCCAACACTGCCAATTAAAACAAAACAAAAAGCTAATGAGGGAATTGCTTGGTTTTATATATTACTACTAGGAAGTGTGGGTAGATTTATAGGCAGATGATTTTGGATTTGATGTTAGAGCTGCCTAACAATTAGAATTGACTAATTTGAATGAACTGCTGGTATTGGAGGAGATCTTGATGGGCTTTATTTATGAACACTGTAGAAAAAAAGTATTAGATGTTTTCCCACGTCAGTCAATACATATCCATATGATCACTTTTAGTGGTCACGTAATAAATAGTCCAGTGTATCTTCACCTGCTAGGCAAGGAAGAGCGTGCCTGTTTGTGAGGAAGATGAGTTAGTCTAGAAACCCCTTATATAAAATTCTAATATTGAAGTGTCTTTTAATAGTAATAGGATAAGTTATATTTTCCTGAATGGTAGCTGCGGCCTCACTCACTCCAGCTGCCTCCAGTTAGTGTACACCACGGAGGGTCATTTGTCCTCTGACTCTTAAACAGATAGTCTTCCTATTTGGTGATAATCTGGGAGAATATTAGCATCTCTCGTTAAACCTTACAGCTCTGGACAGTGCTCAGGGTGTGTGTTTTTGAGGTTTCTCTTTGTGGTAGAATATATAAATGATTCCCCAAAGGCTCACATGGAAACCATTTATTAAAGACTTCTCTGCTCCATTGACAAATACATTAGAAATGCTTTTGTTCTCTGTAGTATAGAAATTCACTATTCAATTTTGCTTACTAATTAGCAGCAGTTATCTCGAACATAATTACTCAATAACTGATGTTGTTTATCTGGTATACTACATTTCAGAAGACAGTTTCTAGATTATAAATATCTTAGTTGCAAAATACCCTTGGAAATTAATTTATTCTCATGACTCTGTCTCATCAGAATGTTTCAGTTGTATAAAAATATTCTGTGTTCTTATATAATAGTCTAATCTGTATCCAATTTGTTCCTGCATTGATAGTCACACCTATTTTTTCCTTTTGTGTGTTTTAATGTTCTTCATTAATAAGTATTGGAAGTAACATGAAGTATGCCAGTACAGAGATCATAGCTTGTATCATATAATACCATAATCTTTTGAAGGCCAGACTAACCTCTGGTGTTTCTGTGGCAGGTGTTTGAGATGGATATTTCTAAACAGTTACATGCCTATGAGGTGGAATATCACGTCCTGCAGGATGAACTTCAGGAATCTTCATATACCTGTGAGGATAATGAACCTATAGAGAAGCTGGAGAGGGCCAATAGCCAACTGAAAAGACAGAACATGGACCTACTAGAAAAATTACAGGTAAAGAGAGAAACACTTGACCAAAGAAGTGCACGAATGCATCCTGCATGCACAGAAACTATACTGGGAATAATAGGGTTGTGTCTGTGGATCCAGCCACTGCTAAGGGCTCATGTATCAGATTGTGTTCAAGTACCCTGGGGCTATGAATGTACTTATGGATTTAAATATCACTTGGAAGAGAAAAAATGCACACTCCCCAAATGGTGGAATGGCAGTTCAAAACAGAATATGGTTAAATTCTTATTGAATATTAGACACATTTGGCTAAGATCAAGGGAAAAAGAACTGAATATGAGACATTGGGAAAGCTTGAGCTGGTTCTTGGAAGCAGGAAGTGAAGAGGGCATTTACACTGGGCCTCCAGGAGGGTGGCACCAATCGGGAGGATGTGGCAGAGCACAGAGTTAGCTTGGTATTAATTTATGAGTTATATTAGGAGAGGTGAGGTAAATATGATGGAGGCTGAGGTGTAGGTGACTTTTCATGTCAAATCTAAGAGCATGGCTTTAAATCTTGTTAAGAGGGAACTCTTTCAATGTTTTTGAGTCATACATTAGAAAGAAGAACCTGAAAACCTTTTTTTTTTTTTTTAAGAATCTGAAAATCTTGATAGAGACAGATTAGGATGGGGAGAATGTAGGGAGGCCAACTAGAAGACATTTTCAAAGATCTGATTGGGGATGATAAGAATTATCTAGAGTAAAACAGAAAGGGGCAGAGAAAGAGACTTTTGGAGTGAACTGAATAAAAGCATGTAACACATAGTTCCTGCCATCTAGGAGTTTACAATTACTTGAGAATATGAAATATCAAATATTTATTTCTAAATACATATTACAAATGCAATAGGCACTTTACTATACAGTAGTAGTCTGCGTCTGCAGTTAGTATGATGTGTGCTCTGTGTTCATGCCTTGAGGAGAGGCCCTTAAAAGTACTTGAGGAGTGGAGGATAGTAGGTATATTAGTCTTGTTTTCTGTCTTCAATGAAATACCTGAGTCTGAGTAACTTATAAAGAAAAGATTTTCCAACTCACACTTTTGGAGGCTGAAAGTCTAAACAGTGTGGTGCTGGCTCATGCAAACCTCCCCATCCCCCGCTGTGTCACATGTCAGAGGTCATCTTGGTGAGACTTTGTGGGAGAGGGTGTGATCATGTGGTGAGAAAGGAATCCAGAGGCACTGGGAAGGGCCAGTCTTGCTCTTTGGTAACAGCCCTTAAGAACTAACCAGGGTCCTATCAAATCTACCTTGTTCCTTTCTGGGGCAGCCCCCAATGACCTAAAGACCTGCCTTTCAGTCCCACCTCATCAAGGCCCCACCACCTTACCTTGTAATATTGCCACACTGGGGACCAACCTTCCAACACAGGAGCTCTTGGGGGACACATTCTGTATCCAAACCATAGCAGCAGGCGACTCTTCTTCAGGGAGATGAGCTCTGAGTTAGAGCTTAAGTGCCTCATGGCCCCTTGAATTCTGTCCACCCACACCSCTTTTCTGCCCTGCCATTTACCCTGCCTCCAACCCTGCTTCCATTTGGTGAGTCCCCTGTCAAATTCAGCTGGGAGGGACATAGGTTAGAAACAAGGGGTTTCTAAAGTAGTTTCTCCCCTAGAATAGGAACAGCTAGTTTCCCTCCTAGTATCTCACATCAGCTCTGGCCCATAGAAACTTTGATCATTTTTCCTATTCAAAAATGAGCCAACAGGGTGTATTTAAAACAAAAACAACAATTGGCATCTCGTCCCTTATTTTATTCAGATATTTCAACCATGACAAATTGAGCATTTCCTAGCTGGGGAAAGCTAGCTGGCACTTGATCTAAGTTAAAGCTTGCTCTTAGTCGTTACAGACTTTTTCTCTGACACTTCCATGTAGTCGTCTCTAAGTTTCTTGAGTACACCATAAAAACTGCTGGAATCCCAAGTATGTGTTTCAAGAACCTGCATGTCCAGTGAGAGGGCAGAAAGCTTCTTTGAGCACTGGAGGATGRTTTCAGGAATCCCATTTCGCCTTCAGCCAGGCCAGACCCCACTCCTGCAGGGAACCCCAGTGGGCATGGAGTGAGGACCCCAGCATTGTGGGGTGATGATTTAGTATTGCATTATTAGTATAATCAGTGAGAAGACATCAGTCATATTAGTATAATAGTTATATTTTTGAGCAATCTAAAAATATCCTTTTTACACACTTCACATAAAATTTTACTAAGTGATTTTATATCAGTGATTACTACAGACATGGGGCCTGGCTGCTACTGTCATTAAGAACTAGATTCTTTACATTTTTCACTTGGATAATTTTATTCCTCCCTCCCCTCCAAACAGGTGGCTCATGCTAAAATTCAAGCCTTGGAATCAAACCTGGAAAATCTTTTAACTAGAGAGACCAAAATGAAGACTTTAATCCGGACCCTGGAACAAGAAAAAATGGCTTATCAAAAGACAGTGGAGCAGATCCGGAAGCTGCTGCCGGCCGATGCTCTGGCCAACTGCGAAACGCTGCTGAAAGAACTAAACTGCAACCCGAACAACAAAGCCAAGGCAGGAAATAAGCCATAATTCAAGACGTGCTGTCTCAGCACAAAGTGCTCCTTAGCCTATTAGAGAGGAAGAGCCCGTGCGCTGCTGGCCCAAGCTGGACACTGAAGCTGGGCGAACCACCCGGCGCTGGTGCTGAGCCCGCCAGCAAGTGGCCCTCGCTCTCATCAGAGCACACCCATCCCAAGCCGTTGTACATGTACACAGACACTCTTGTTGCTGAACTCTGTACATACATATGAAATGGATCTAAAGAGTTCATACTTTCAGATAAAATGAGTAAACATATATTTAGAGCATTTTTTTTTTAGTCAGAACTTCATGAAATCCACACCAAAGGGAAGTTCACGTGAAATTTCCCTTGGACACATGTGAAGTCTTTTTGTCTTTTTAGTGAAACAAAGCTAGAGCATCTTTGTATATTGAAATATACTTGAAAAAAATGAATGTATTTTTTTCTCCAAAGAACAGCATGTTTCACGCAATGGTGGAAAGGTGGAAACGTTTATGTACCTTCATGTGTACCTGTCCTAAATTCTACTGACATTGTCTGAATGCGGAAAATGAGTGGTTGCCAGTCATGCTGTAGTGAGTGTTTTGGGAAGGTGGGGCCTTTTCGTCCTGCCTGCTTTGTGCCAATGAGCATGTTACATCTTCATGTATTTTGAGTCTGGTGAGGCTTTGCTTTAGAAAGCAGGACATCGTGGCTGAGTCTGCCCAGCTCAAGGTAAAAAAGAATGTTGCTAATTTTTTTAGCAAATAAGACCAGCATTATGACTCAGACYGAAAATATCAGGCCTTGAAAATATAATTTAGGATCTAAATTGTCTGGGTTAGCTTTCTACCTTTTTATTTAAATGACTTCTGCAGTTGTGAACAGTTACTTGGTGCCCCAGTAACCAAGTGACACAGATTGGCTATTTCCCCACCAAATTGTAAAAGCCCACAATTTAGTTCTTTTGACCTTCAATTTTAGGATAAGGAAATGCAATTATGATTGATTTTTCCTAAAGAGGACATACTATATTGAGATACTTTTTTTTTTTTTTGGCCAATTGACAGAATCTAATAAGCTATTAATCATCTTCCCCTTTCATGGAAAACTTGAGGAGAACCGTGAAATGTTTAGGAAAAACTGTTGAAATCCACTGGGAGGAAAGGGAAAAGTGGCACTCAGCCCAACCTAAACCTACAATTCTGATTTGGACTCCCAGCTTCCGCTGCCTGCAAATAGCTCGTTAGAAGACATTCATGCATGCTGGGTATACGGAAGGGAAGTCGTTTTTCAAAGTACACGTGCAATTCTCCCTTTCAGAGAGGATTTTACGATAGTGCCTCTGAAAATCAGTGCAGTTTTTTTGCCTTTCCAAACTATTTATCGGCACTGCTTTTTGCAGCACTTTGATTTTCACAGATGGATTATTTGGGGGTAATTTTCTTCAAAGAGAGTTTGTTATACACAAGCTGAAATGTATTACAGAGTTCAGGAGTAAAGCTCTCAAGGTTTCAGAAAATCGCCATGAACAGATGACAGACACACATGAGACCCTCTTACCACTGGAAACGGTGAAAGTAGGATTCTTGTTGAAGATCAGCATGCCATTGAATCTCAGTGGTTTCTTAAAAGACAATGACTTGTTTTAGTAAGTCAAGTTAATATCAGTTCTAGGTTCTAGAAAATGCTGATTCTAAGTACCCCATTCACTTGGGGACCAACAATTGACTAATAACAAGATTTCTTGAAAATCTCTCTTTAGAAGGTGGTTTTTTTTTTTTTAATTTTCCCCTATCAAGAGTAATATGACATGGGCTGGGGTAGTAGCTCAGTGGTAGAGTGCTTGCCTTGCACACGTGAGGCCCTGGGTTTGATCCTCAGCACCATATAAAAATAAATAAAAATAAAGATATTATGTTCATTTACAACTAAGAAAAAATTTTAAAAAAGAATATGACAAATATCATCTCACTCTATGGTGAGACAAATTGCCTTATGGGTGTAGTGATACAAGTGATAGCCAAGAAGTCTTCAAGTTGGGGGAGGGAAGCTTTTCTTTTTGTTATTCAGTTTAAAGTAAACTTTATTCTGGATGTTTAATGCCAGCATTATGAGTTATATTATGGTGTTCAGAGATTAAGGTGACTTGGATACAATGTTTTCTTTTGAAAATGAATTTTCTTTCTCATTTGTGATTTTTAAAAATGTCCCACCAGTTATGCTCCATGCATTTTACATCTTCATCCAGTTAATGTAATGTCTGGTTCATTTCCAATAAATACATTGTTAAAGTTTTATTGACCTGTTGATTTTAGTACTCTTTGGGGAGAGACCTTTAAAGAAAACCTTCATGGGTTAGATTATTACTATTTAAAATTGCTATACTGATATTCTTCCTTATGGAATCCCATACCACAAAGATAATGTTGAAACATTTATGAGAGCATGTTATTACCATTTTCACTTTTTTTYCCTCAATCGATGAAACATTTTGCTGCTAATTATGGAAAGAAAAAGGCAACCACACTGACAAATTTTCATTCTACTCTTTTTTATGTTCTAGGTCCTCTCGTAGCAAGAAAGAGAATATGAAAAAATAAGAATTTTAATTGGAAAAATTGCTTCTGTATACTGAAGGKCATTTACCGATGGATATGATATGAATGTGTTTGCTTAAAAATAGATCTTTCGAATATTCTTAAATTTGCAATTAAATGCTAAGAGCCACAGCCAAGTAATATGATGCATGACATTTTTGGTTGTAAGGTGATGCCAGCTAGCCATGGAGATGATATGATTATGTTAAGATTTGCATTCATGTGGATATTGGACTCCTGCTGTTCACCTTGGCCTGCTATGGGACTCCTGGAGAGTTCCCATTGGTTGGGGAAGTACAGTAGGAGGGAATTCCAGGGGAGGACCTTCCTCTGGGGTTCTGGGAGAAGGCCACGTGGGTCTATCGGGATTCTTCCCGGGGGCGTATGGGGCATTGGTGGCAGTTTCAAAAAATAAAGTTTGTTCCTGCTTGAGTGGCTCATGATTTTGTGCCTAGCCAGACTGCRGCAATTAAATACAAGGAAGGATACTATGTCATGCTGCTAATTTTAGGACTAAAATTTTTAACTATCTTTCAATGTAGGTGGGAATTAAACATTTTGAAAGGAGGCAGTGTAGGCTTAATAGTATAGTCTCTTAATAACCATATTGATTTACCCATTTAATTACCAATTTGTTTCTCACAGTGCTGGAAGAAGAATAAAAAAAATCTATTCTCTGATAGTGTGAAGTTATTTGGTCCTCTGCCATGATGTGAGGATCTTAACTGTGACATAATGAGAAAAAGTACTGAATTTAGGGTGGAAAATTCTAGACCTGAATCTTGGTTTAAGTACTGGTATTTATTCATTCCACAATTAGATTTTGTGAGCAGATTCCAGGCTGGATGCCAAGTATCCAAAGGTGGAAAAATTATAGTCCTTGTTCTCATAGAGCTTACAGTCTAGGTGGGAAGAAGGGGTTAATTAGAAAACAAGAGAATTTGTACTATAACAGGTGTGTAAGGTAATAGGGACAAGAATCTCTGCATTCCACAAAGGGAAAGGGCTGGGTAGCACCTGGAGTGGGTGTGAAAATGGTTTGGAGGAAGGGAGGCTTGATTGGGAATCTGCAAAAGCCAGCAGAAGTTGTGTAAAACAGTGTATGAATGAGAGAAGATGGCATGGAAATCAAAACTCATTCCTTAAGCCTTAGTTATTCTACTGAATGTAGTCCCATGAGGGTGTAGTGGGAGAGGAGTCTCCTTACAGACAAGAACTCTCACAAAAGGCCTCACGGACCGTGTGAAGAAGGCTGAGCTCTCAAGTAGCAGTAACATGAAGAGAGACAGGTTTGCTGCCATCCATTTGATACATTTGGGTAGAAACTAGGGAGAAGGATGGCAATGAGGCAAATGCGATAGAAATCCAAGTCAAAATTAGTGAGAACCTGACTTAGGGCCCTGGACTCAGGAGTCAATTTTGCTTGTCCCTTTCCCTGCTGGTTTTGCCTGCACAGTATTTACCCATTTTTCCCATCCACCCAGCAGCTACCTAAGTGCATGTCCTTGTTCTAGTGGGTTAAACAGGCCATTTCTGATTTCTGGGCGCAAGCTCATAAGCCACAGGTATTAAGGTACTTGTCTCTTGTTTCGCACAGTAACAAATGCAAGTAGAGGGTGGAGTTGGGTGGCTCAGAGGAGATGCAAGCAGGATCTAGGATCGCGATGGAATTAGCTGAAAGCTTAGGAAAAAAAGCAGAAGAACTGTGTCTAGTGGGGACTTGGGGAGCAGAATTCTGTTTTACTCAGTAACCTTTTCTCCCTGCAGTCTACCTGCAACACTCAGTACATGTCAATATCTTGGTGCTCCACATGTGGAGCCAGAATTCCTTTGATGCTAATCCTATACCAAGGTATGTATGGCACCAGAGGACATGTGAGGGAAGCCTGCCAAATATGGGTTAGCATCTCCTACTTGGATTGCTTCTTGTCATTAGTGTCCTTTACCTCCAGCAAAGGGACCTTCCTAAAACATTAATCTTATTAAGTTTGTCTTTAGCCTAAAGCCCCTTTTCAAAGGCTTTCCCTTTCTCCCAGGATCAAGCCCAACCTTTGACATAAGAGTCTCCCTAATAAATAACCTGTCAGGGTCTCCTGCTTCTGTCTGTGTCTTGTGCTCTGTTCTGGGCAAATGGTACACTCCATCCCTCTGAGCCAGCGGTCCTTCGGCTTTGCAGAGGCTGCACTCTCAGCAGAGGGACTGGAGTGCACCTTCTTTCCCACATCCCGCTGGGCTCCCTCCTTCAGGATGTCCTTGGGTCTCTGTGGCTGGGTGGACCCCAGGGAGGTCTGTCATAGCCTTAGCAAGGGGCAGATGGCTGCTGAACTTCACAGACCTCTCAACACCCCCAAATGAGGTGAAGCAACTAAAAGCCAACTTCCTAGTTACACTGCTACAAAAACATGTCAATGGATGTCGGGTGCATTGAGAGGTAGGTTAATTGTATTTAGCATTTTATGTTTCTTGATGGCCTAGTGTGGGTCAAGCACTTTGCTAGAGGCTGGGACCTCAAAAAGGTCTTGATTGAATCAGTTCTTATCTGACAAATGCACCTTTTTATGAAAAAACAAACAAACAAAAAATCCAAATGTGTGGAGCAACATTTTGTAAATTGTGAAAACATTCTACTGCTTCCTCCTTATCATAAATGTTATATGCTGTGTAGGAGGTACAATTTATATCATATATAATGTATTGTATTGTTTCTTACACCCCAGACTAAATAGATTACATTAGGTAATGGGAATATAATAGGTCTGTTGCACTGAATAATCCAGGAGCATTATTTACATAGATTAGAGTGTGGATGGTGCGCTCTGGAGCTGTTTAACAAAGCAGTCGATAAGATATTTTGCATTTTATATAATGTACAGATTGTACTAAGAACAAAGACCCACTTGTCCCACACTGTTTAGGGGCCACGTTCACAATGAATACTGAGTAGCAGTATTCATTGAAATAGTTTTGTATCCAAGAGACTCTTTTTTTTTTTTGCATTACAATTCTTATTACACATATAGAGCACAATTTTTTTTATCTCTGGTTGTATACATAGTATATTCACACCAATTCATGTCTTCATACTTGTACTTTGGATAGTAATGATTATCACATTCCACCATCATTAATTACCTCCCTTCCCCCTCCCTTCCCTC